GCAGCATGCTGTCTTCTGTCTAGAGACTGGTCACACGCTAGGGCTCCTTTCAGATGTGCCCCGAGAGGAGGTGGCGTGCCCTCCACGTCACAGTAAGGGATATATTTCTTCAGATTTTTCAGAAACATATCTGCACACAGCCAATAACTCAAATATTAACAAGCAGATGTTCTGGTCAGCTTCTACAGTGCAGTGCCATCTGCTGGGGGCTAAAAGCCAGCTCTCCGCACGCACTGTGCAAGCCCATGTTCTGGTACCCCAGGAGACTTTCCTGCCCATGTGGTTTCTGTATATTTTTAGTCCAGTGACTACCCGGCACAAAGGAGACCGTTCATGGACTTCCAGCCCATTTGCACAGAAGAGGGACTGCCAAAGATACTGAAATGGATAAGGAGATCGTTATTTTCCCTTAGGATAACCAGCAAGCATCAGGTATGTATCAAGAAAACCCATGCTAGGTGTGCACGCACAGAGGCACGCAGCCATCCAATTCCTTGAGCTAAGACCTTCTCATAACACACAGTATTTGTAAAGGATGCAGGCTCTAAACCACCTTGGGGTCTTGGTGTCATACCACCAGGAGAACAAGCCAGCTGAGACTACCACGAGCACCACGGCACCCCTGAGTTCCAGGGCCAAGGAGAACAGCTGAGGCACGTGCTTCCCTCGGCCTCTCTGGTCACTGCCTGACTTTCTCCCCTCGGCATAGAGGTCATTCTCAGCCCAAGGGCACCTGTCTTCACAGAAATAATTTCTGTACCTTGCCCAAATATTCCAATTCTAGAAGATTCATGAATGGGTAACAGGTGTCAGATTTATGGGATCTCAGAAAAACCTGGCAGAGGCCTTGGGATGAAAGCGAGGTCTGTTCACACAGCCAAACGCCTACCTGGGGCGTGTCCAGCTCTTGACCAAACAAATCTCCAAATGCTGCAACACGCTCATATCAGACCCACTGAGCTCACTGGCCTGGCAGTGCCAAATACACATAAAGGCTCTCCCCACAGGCCACAAGTTCTACACCTAGTTTTAGCATCTTGATGCAACATCTGACATAAGCACAGATCTACTGGGCTTTGCTTGACAGAAGCCTACAAAACAGGAAACAAGTCAAGAAGGTAGAGCTGGTACTCACAGCATTAGGCATCTCATGAATATTCACTTTTTTTCAAGACAAGAAATAAAAAGACAAATGGTCACGCACGAAGACCTCAACATTCAGACCTGTGCAAAGGGTACAACAGGCCCAGAAAAGCTCTTTAGCTTATGCTTTCCCGAAGAGGTTGCTACTCTTAAGGTCCAATTGGTGGACTCTTAGTACAATTGGTGTCTGAGTACCTATTTATGCGAACTGATGAGCTACCCATTGTGTCAAACAGCAAAATAAAGTTCTTGCTATTATATCCAGGCATCTTAATATTTGCAAGCGGCCCACTGCGGTCCCCCCATAACAGTCCATCTTCCTTTAAGCGCTCTTCCTTGCCTTTCTCCTAGTCTCAGGCACAGCAGTTTACGTGCATCTCAGTCCTGATCAGAACTCTACCATCAGTGTGGACTTTTTCTCCTCCAGGGCACACACCCCAGTTCTCTTCTGATGAGCGCTTTGTGTTTCCACAACAGCCACGTCTGCTGCATATTACCACATGCCTCTAATTACATGAGAGTATGCCATTTCTTTCCCCTCTCCTTGCAACCCCTGTGGATTTTCTCTGCATCACTTACCTCTTCAGTTTCTTTTGCCTTAGGAAAAGCCATCAGCTGTTTCCCAAGACCAGTGTCCACAAAAGGTCTATGTTCCTCACTCTCAGGATAAAAGGCATACGCTTTAAAAGAGAAGGGATTTTCCTGTTTGTTTTTTAAATTTGGTCACTAGAAATTCTCTTTGCAGTGAGCTCTCTGCTGTTGATTTTTATTATTTGTGTAATAAAACCCTTGAATAGAAGTCAAAGAATGTGACACTGAACTAGTGTCAGCACTGTCATTCATTAGTGCCTCCAACTGAGTTCCCTCAGATAACAAAATCTTCTTGTAATTTTTGGGGTGGAAAATACACTTCCCTTCTATCATCCCCTTGTCAGCTTTGGTGCCAGCAAAATGAAGTCTCTGCTGCCACATACCCCCTTTAAATACCGATTAGCATCATATCAACTCATATTGCCTATCATGTTCCACACGTGGATGCAATTCAGTCTTTTTATTAGAAGATCAAATGCTACATAAAGGCTTAGTATTCAGAAAACATGCAGACACTCAACTGCAAACACAGCACAACACTTCTCTTTGAAGCCAACCTGAAATAAAGAAAAGCAGCACATCCAATGGAGCCAAGATCATTCTCTTCAGTTATACTAACAGTTTAACTATCAACTAGAATTAAACAAAACTTGTCACATCAGACTGCTAAAGGTACACAGCATACTACAGAATTCTTAACTGCCTACTTGGAAGTAACAGTGTTCTTCAGTATGATTTCTTCTCCACAGAGCATTTAACGATGCGCCCCTGCACACTCACTCTACAGGTCAAAAAGGTCTCTCCTCCCCCCCCCCCCCCAAACAAAAGAGGTATCTATTTCTCAAGAAAAATTTTTTCTTTCAGGTGTTGAATAAGAGCTATAAGATTCAGGAGCTGCTTCTGCAGGGCAGAGAACAGAATCAGAGCTAATCACAGGTATTGCAATTCTGGGAAGCTAGAAACACATTCAGAACAAAGTGCTGCAGATCATTCTCTGTGCAGAGTACCTACGGTTCCACATTAGGTTTGGAACAGTTTAGAATAGCTGAGCATTTTTTATCTCCTTTTGAAATAAAAGTACTAGCTACAAAGGTTGAGTTTGTTTTTCAACATACACTTCCTTCATTTCCGGCGTTGAATCACAGGCACGCATGAGCTGGCAGATCCCCTGCTTCCCGAGGCTCTCGACCCAAGCCCAACGCTTCACCTGCAGGATCTCAGTTCTCATCCCAGCTCTAGCACCCCTGCAACTATGAAATGCTTTAGTACTCCCAGACAGCAGTGAAGCAGTCGGCAGTTTGACGACGGGGACTATCTGATCACATGTGACATCTGAAGCTCAGGAACACAAGACAGCAGCCAAGTCAGGTCATTTAGAAGCCTACACCAAGCTGGTGTCACAGACTAGGTCTCTCAGAACGGTGCCTGCCACAACCACTTCCACACGACAGCTCGTCCACAGGCGATGCTGTCACCACCTGCACTGCTCCTCACCTAACAAAACCCACGGTGCATCAACAGTGATCAACAGATGGGCCCTGGGCACACTGCAGACCCTCAGCTTCCAGAACGTGGCAGGGACATGCACAGCACCAAAATAATTTTGACCGCCACCCCTGTTCCACTTGCACGTTATGCCTTCGCTTCCACGCTTGCCTCTATAATCTGAATTTGGAGCTTCCTGAGGGCAGAGCTGCACGTTGCATTTGAACAATGGTTACTGCAGCTGGGCTTCCACTCTGCTTTATCCCTTGCTTACCAGCTCCGCCTGCCTTGTGCCTTTGTGTTGCACCTATCATAGACTCCATCAGCAGGACCAAAGAGTCAGGATTGGAAGCTAGTCCCATTCCCTTCTTTCTGATTTTTCCTTTTCCCCCAGTCAGATGAATTATTTTTGCTGCTTCTCAGCAGGTAGCATATTAATTTTCTGTGGCATTTGTATTTGTTACCCCAGTTAATATCATTCAGTTTGTCAGGTCCTGTGGAGAGTGATTGAGCCAATGGAAATTGCTCTGGCATTAATTACACACTCTATCCTCCACAGCAGTTATTCCTAATGATGATATGCCCCTGACACGGCAGATACACCATTAACTTAATGAAACATTCCAAAACTACAGCAAAGTACTTAAGAACGAAGGACAAGCAGGAGCGCTGGTCACAGCCAAGCTGTTGTTGCCCAATACCTGTGTTTAAAGTTGTATTTTAAAAACAAACAAAAAACCCCAGTCCCAGATTTGCTAGAGTACCATGCAAAGCCTTGTGTCCTTTTTCTCCTCAGGAAAGCTCGGGGAGAAACTGCCTCACACCTGACGCTCGTACGTGACTAACCCCAAGCATTCCTGACGTGAAGTCCTGTGGAAGGATCAACAGCAGAGCCACGAAAGCCGCTTCAGCATCAGGCAGGCTACCTCATTCTCAGGATTTTGGATCCCTCACAGTGCCTGTTCCAAGAACTATTCATAGAATTCCCATTTTGTAAACAAGACAAGGCAGAAAGAACTGGCTGAGGAGCACCTCTGGAGAAAAGGACCTGGGCGTCCTGGTCAACAATAATTTGACTGCAAGTCAGCAGCATGCCCTGTGCAAAAGGTGGCCCAAGAGCGTAGCAAGCAGATCAAGGGAAGTGATTATTCCCCTCTACTAGCACTTGTGAGACCATAACTGGAGCACCATGAGAAAACAGAAGCTTTTTTCCTCACTAGAGGGTCAGTTTCACGGCAAATTAACTTCTCTGTCATTGATTCTAGTCTGCAGAGGCAAAAATATTAATGCCTAGGAGGACTGGAAATTCCTGAGACAACAGGAGATGAACCAGGAGAAGCTCTTAGAGTGAAACATAAGAGAAATTCAAGAGATAAGTAAACCCTAAGCCTCAGTTGTGTGAGCTGGGTGTTCTAAAATATAAGTCCTCTTACTCTGGTGTAAGCAGCGCATGCAAGAGCACACGTTAGCTGAGCTGGCTAACTCCCCTATGCAGAGCACCGTCCCACAGTAAAACGTTCTCCCACTGGAAAGCCACCCACATCTAGAAGTCACCTACAGCACTGAAAGGTATCTAGGACAACACTTCCCACTTCCAGGTAATTGTTTTCTTGAACAAAGTGGAAGCTTTTCCCACGAGCCAGCTCTGGAGTCCAGTGATACTTGCCCATACAAACCCCCTCAGAGAATACAAACCCCCTCAGATGTTTTTTGTAGCTGGTATTATCCAGCCATGAGTTACAGGGTAGTAACGATATTGCAACAACTCCCATTTCCCTAACCTTTCACGGTCCAGGTCGAAAGTCGTTCCACTGCTGTTCAGATGCCTGCAACGAAGTTATTTAGCACACCAGTCTGCTTTGCTGTAAGCCACCATCTGTATCAATTGACAAGATATCATCTTAAAACAAAAACAAAAATGCAGAACACAACATTTCCATGCATTACGCTCAAAAACACACACCGGGTCAGAGAAGGACTTGGAGAGGTTTTTTTTTGTTGTTGTTTTGGCTAACGACTCCTCCCACCCCAAGGTGGGCGGTTTTGGGGGTTGTTTTTCCTTACTTCCACAGACTTCACAACCTAGTCGCAAGTTCTACGTCCGGGAGGATGGGAGGCCGTTTTTCACTGCAGAAGACGGCTGCAGGCAGGCAACGGTGCAGCTACCATCGCAGAGGGCCTCTGCTTAGGGACAACCGTTCTCTGGGCCGGGACGCCCCCGCGCCACCTCGTGCCTACATGAAAACAAGTTATACAATTAAACGACTTTGGCACAAAAGCAACGAGCTGGTAAGATAATACCTCAAGTGCAGAGCGAACACCACGGATGGAAGGAGAGACACGGGTACCGCAGAGACGAAGCGCAGGAAGGCCTAGAGAGGGACTCGCGGGCTCAGCCTGGAGCCAGGCGACCAGGAGGCCTCAGCGGGCAGCGCGGAGCCCCGCGGAAACCGCGCGGAAAAGGGGGGAAAGGCGCCAAAAAAACGCGCAGGGCGCCGCGGAGACACGAGCTCACCGGGCGCCGCTCCGGCTCC